TAGTCTACTCAAAGTAGACTATTCAAATACCTGTTATATTTCTGAAGTGGATGGTCAATTCTTCTTCCTAGTCTTTCTTAATTTGGAAAGTTAGTTTTAGAACATCTGTCAGACAAAACTTTTACCAAAAGGAGTGGATGAAAAACACTTCTCTTACAGAAATAACCAATACATTCAGTATCCGCTCCACCCTGGCACATGTGTCGTGTTCTTTTCCTTTCTCTGCTACATCCGCATTCCTGCCTTTCATATCCAGCAAGTACTCCTTGTTTTGATGTCTTAGGCCAAAAGTCACTTCTGTGATATTGTGCACCTTTCACTGTTTCCAGTCTCTCACGCTGATGCCTGTCTCATGTTTAGGAGGATGTAAGTACAAAACTCATGTACAAGCTTCAATGTTTTGTAGGAGTATTAATTCACCCCTAATGATGTTAAAAATAATATCAGTCGACATCCCAGCAGGTAAGTATTTAATACTATCAACTGTAAACAGAATGTTTGATTGCTACTAAAATTCTCTGTTCTGATGTGTTTTACTGCTCCATAATATGGAAATGGAAAGTTCTGTGAACAGTTAAACAATTATATAGTTCTTTTTATTCACTATTAAGTATATTGTACAAAATGCTACAAACTAATACACCAGCCAATGACATCTTAAATCCTAATCCCTAGTAATGGTGTCTTCCTGCTACTTTCTCCCAGCTATAGCTGGGCTTTAATGATACTGTAAAACTTAAGCTCTGAATTCAGGAAGAACTTTTAAAAATCTTAGTAACTACTATAAAATCCTAATATTAAAAGTAGAAATACAGAGACATAACTTGAAGCCTGACTGCCTGTATTTAGCACTCATGTAATATTTATTAAAACAGATAAAAGCAGAAGGAATACCATTATATGCTGTACTTTTTTCTTCTTTTTCATGATTTTTAATTTGTATTTGAATGATCTCTTTAGTATAATAAACATTGTACCTATTTTTCCAAAACTAAAATAAAATAATACTAACATATTTTCATCCGGTTAGAAAAGATTCATCATTGAACTTCTAGAGGATTTTTAAGGATATAAATCACACAGGAGATTTTTTTCCTGAGGAACGACTGGTAGAATTGAACTTTCAGAGAAGTACCACATCTATGTTTGCAGTACAACTCTTTAAAACTGTTGTTGTTGTTAAGTGCTGTCGAGTCGTAGATGACTCATAGTGATTCTATGAATGAAAGACCTGAACACTTATATAACTTTCATCATTTCTCTAAGTTCATAGAGCTTCTGAAGGCAAGTTATTTCAGAAGTGGATCCCACTCCTGCTTTCCAAGCCTGTTTTAAATGGCAAGCTCCACCAAACACTGTCCATCATGACACTATGGGTAATCATTATCACATTTGATGTATAAGTGACACAGTGTTTGGCATCACAGCAACCACAACTTAGCTCTGTATAGCAAATGGACATAACAGGGCTATATCACTTAGAAGAATGTTTGACCAAAAACAATTAAAACTCAAATGCTTTTTAAAATAGGAGGCCAAATCCAATCAGCTCACATCCAATTATGCATAAACATTCCACATCCAAGTCTCACCAGAATCAGAAAACAAACCTCTGTAGAATCTGCCTGCTCCGGATGACTTCCTGATCTGGATTCCAACCCCAAATTAGTCTCATAATTCCTCTGGTGATTTAATATATTTTTTTCATGAATCTGTTGTTGTTGTGGTTAGGTTCTCTTGACTTCAGTACGAGTAATAATCACACAATGAAAAACAGATCTGTTCACTGCTCCAACCTGTTTCAACCTCACAATCTCTGACACATTTGAGGCCATTGCTGTAGTCATGTGTCAACTCACCTGGTAGACAGTTGTCTTCTTCTTTAATGTCCCCCTACCTTTTCAACCATGCTATACTTCTCTAAGGAAAAGCATATCCTAGAAACAAGCATGTGAGAGGAAACTTTTCCCTTCTTGTCTCCACTGGTGGCCTAGTGGTAAGAAGCTGTTCTGCAAAGCTATGTGAATTTACCCACTGCTCCAAAGCAGAAGGATGGGTAAACTTCTCCTTTGTTATTAACTGACAGAAAACCTACTAGAGGGTCAGCTATGAGTTGATTCAAACTCACAAGCACACAATTTGTACAATATTTTTTAAGCTAGAAGAACTAATGAACAAATTCAAGCCTTGAGTTGTAATAGTTAAGGACTCCATGGGCTAAATATGAAACAATCCAGGAAACACAGAAGAATGATAGAGTCTCTGTACCAAAAATAAAATTGGTTGATACAGAAAAATTTCATGAAACAACATGTGGCCAAGAGGCAATGATGATGAAAGAGAAAGTTCAAGCTGCTCTGAAGGAATTGGCAAAATAAACAAAGCCTCAGGAATTGATGGTGTACCAATTGACATATTTTAACAATAATATGCAGCCCTGTATGTGCTTACCAACTTATGCCAAGAAATCTAGAGGTCAACTACTTGGCCAACTGACTGAAAGAGATCCATCTTTATTCTTATCCCCCCAAAAGGTGATCCAACAAAGTGCAAAGTATTGAAATTATCAAACAATATTAATAATACCAAACAAGCAAATTTCTGCTGAAGTTTATTTAAAAAAAAAAGAATAGAACAGTACATTGACAGAGACCTGCTAGATCAACAAGTTGAATTTTGAAGAAGCCATAGCACTGGGGACATTATAACCATTAGATGGATCTTGGCAGAAAGTAGAGAGTACCAGAGGAATACATATGTGTGCTTTATTCACTATGCAACAGTATTTGACTGTGTGGATTGCAACCTTTTCTAGCTAAACTTGAGAATAATAAGAACTGCAGAACACTTCATTGCACTCATGCAAAACCTATGATTGGACCAGGAAGCAGATGTCAGAAAAAAGCAAGGAAGCACTACATGGCTTAAAATCAGGAAAGGACTGCATCAAGGATATACCCTATCTCCACACTTTTTCAATCTACACACAGAACAGATCATCAGGAGATTGAACTTTATGAAGAGCAATATGGCATCAGTCCTGGGGAAAAACTTGCGTTTTATGCAGATGATACAACCTTGCTTTCTGAAACTGAGAAATGGGACATTTGTTACAGAAAGTCAAGGACTGTAGTCTTCAATATGGATTGAAGCTCAACATCAAGAAAATAAAGGTTCTCACCGTGGTCCAAATGGTAGAGAAGTAATTGAGATTGTTAACAATTTCAACTTATGCAGCTCCACAGTCAAAACTCTTGGCACCCCCAATGGTCAGAAAATCAAGATTAATTGCATTGGGAAAAACTGTTGTCAGGGACAGCTCCAGAGTGCTGAACAGCAACAATATCAGTCGAGAGACGAAGTTATGCATGACTCAGGCCATAGTCTTTTTAATTAGTTGCTTGGCATCCGATACCTGGCAATGACTTAAGATGATAGGAGAATAATCAATGTCTTTGAGTTGTGGTGCTGGAGAAGAGTATTAACAGACCATGAACTGCCAATAGAACAAACAGGTCTGGCCTGGAAAGGTTGAAATCAAGTTACTCTTTGGAGGCAAGGATTTTGAAGCTCCGTCTCACATATTTTGGGCATGTTTGGCAAGAAGAACTGGTCTTTGGGGCAGGACATCATGCCTGAAAGAATGGAAAGGTAGTGCAGGAGAGGAGAATGAGAGGGATTGACACAGGACCTGGGGAACTGAAGGTAAGTGAATTGGAGACAGTCAGATTAACTCAGGGTAAGGCTGGGTTTAGAGCTATTGTATTTAGGAGTGGCATCCACTTCTAAAATAGCTTGTGTCTGGAAACCCTATGAACTTGGAGAAAGGATGAAAGTTATATAAGTATTCAGTTCTTTTGTTCATGGGGTTGCTATGAGTTGTCTACTAGTTGACGACACTTAACAACAAAAACAACATGAGTTACAGGTGAATTGATAGTATATACTACCTCTTTTAGAAATTATGATAGAGTTAAATCAGATATTGTTTATGAAACTATATAGCACACTGATAGTGATCAAATACATTTTTATTTTGCAACATTTTTACCTGTACTCCTCAGGTAATCATATGTATCTAGAAGTATAGGGTACTTAAGTGCCTTGAGTCAAATACAACTCATTGCAATCCTATGAACAACAGACCTATCTTGTCCTACCCTGTACCATCCTCATCATCTCCCATTATCATATGGTAGAACAATAATAATAATAATAATAATAGCTACTATTATTATTATTATTATAATAGATATTGTACCTTACAAAATATTATCAACTCACAGCTGACCATCCAGTGGGTTTTCAAGGGCTGCAAATTGCTCAGGAGGAGGTTGTCAGTCCTTCCCCTGAGAAACAGCTGGTTGATTTAAACCTCATGCCTTTGAGATGACAATGCAATTTCTTACCACTAGGCTATCAGAGTTCCTTTAGATCACCTCTTAACTATGTTGTTGTTGTGTACCATTGAGTGAAAGTGATTTATAGCGGTAACCCTCCAGGGGGTTTTCAGAGGCAGTTAATGCACAAGAGGAGATAGCCCAGTCTTCTCCCATGGAACAGCTGGTGGATTTGAACTGCATGACTTCAGGATTGCAGCACAGCTTCTTACAACTAGGTTACCAGAGATAGTGTTACTATTTATGATGTTTGGAAGTTACTTTAGTATTTTAATTTGATTTTTTGTGGTGGTTTTACTTTTTGTTTTATAGCTTAAACATCCACTCAAAGTGACCCTGTGTGTTTCAGAGTTTTCCAGGAATTTCCTAATAGAGTATGCCAGGTTACGACAATTTATAAGCAGATCACCAAGCTTGTCTTCTGAACCACTTCTGAATGGGTTCCAATGGCCAACCCTTCAGTTAGTAATGGAACACTTAACTACTTGTACCATCCATGGACCTCACGAATTTATGAATAAAATAAGTCAACTAACTTTTAAGATTACATAGTATTCAAACTTGGCTTTAAGCAGCCCATGAACAGTTTTTACTACTTACGTAGGTGTAAGTATTAAGCTGCCATTAAGTGCCTTGTTCACTGTCACAAATGGTCCACCTCTAGTAGATAAGAATGGCATGGAGGAGTTCTCAGTCCTAGGAAAAAATACACGCAGAAATTAACAAAAAGAAAGAAAAGAAAAATAAATACACTAATTTATTGTTGTAGATATTAAATTATGGAATGCCAAGTGAAGAGACTAACATTTTAACACAAAAATCCTCAAATGCTTTGCTACTTTAAAGATAATGTGAATCAATAGATTCACCCACAGTAACATAAGATTTAATATTTATTATTGCATATATCATATTTCTAGTCCTTTTTGTTTGCTCATATGTTATTTTAAAAAGTTAAAAATTAGTGTGATTTCTTTTTCATTTGACATTTCCAAGTTTTCTGGTAGTTACTATAGTGATCAATTTTAGTGACAATTCAAGAGTTGTTGTACCTTAAGATAGTAAGCCCTTCCCTGTGATTTTTAATTTTCTTTTGAAAAATAATAGTTACTCAAGAACAAGGGAGCATAAAAGAGATATTTATTATTTAACTTTCAAACATTGTTTCATTCTTGATATTTTTGTTCCTTTCAAAGCAGTATATCTCTGATTTAAAGCCAGAAGCCTCAGGACCCCTCTGAAAGATATATGTAAGTAAGCCAGAATGTGGTGGAATAATGAGATGTCTCCTTCTACAAAAGGCTTTAAAGCACTGAACTTCCATTTCCTTGAAAACATATGTATTTTATTATTCTTTCAATTGTAGACATCTATTGAACATTCTCTTCATTATGCTATCAGTTTAAAAACTAAGGTTGCCCTGATACAAACCATGGTTTTCTAAATTACTTGTTATGCATATAAAAGTTGGACCTTGAGCAGGACGAAAGAGGAAGAATCAATGACTCTGAGTTGTGTTATTTGAAAAGAGTATTGATTATCTCGTGGAATGTGAAGAGAACAAGCAGGTATATCCTGGAGAAAGTGAAACCAGAATGTTCCTTGGAAGCAAGGATTATGAAACTTTGTCTCATATTTTGTGCATGTTCTTAGAAGAGGCCAGTATGGGGAAAAGACATCATTCTGTGAAAGCTGAAGAGTAAGTATAAGAGAGGAAGATCTTTAACAAGATAAACTGACACGGTGACTGTAGCAATGTGCTCAAGTATGCCCAGGATTGGGACGGTGGCACTGGGTAGGACAGGATTCAGATCTCTTAACCATAGGATTTCTATGAGTCAGAATCAACTCACTGTCAGAAAACAACAAATTCCTTAGTACTAGCCAGAAACATTTAATTAATGCTTGAGTTTAATTATTCCTATTGTAATTCTACTTTTTAATTTTCCTATAAGAATTCACTTTCAGTTTGGAAAAAAAGATCTCATTCCTGCTTTTTTACATTAGGTATCTTGGTCACACTTTGATCTATCACTGCTCCTCTCAAAGAAAGCCTAATGTTTACCTCAGATCAAATCCAACTCTTACTTTTTTCTATCAATGTGTATTAAATTCCTAAGAAATATACATAGCAGTATGTTAAATAAGAGGAGAAATACTAGATGGAGCAAGATAACCTTCTGAACAAATTGTAACTGAATTGAGTGCTTTACAGCTTCTGAAAAACTAATGAAGGTTCTACTAAATTTCCAAGAATTTAGAATGTTGTAAAAACAGGAAAAATAACAAAATATTCCTAGCAATGCTTACTTACTTTATCTAAATCTGAAATAGATTTACTAAAAGAACATGAGTATTGCTTTTATTTACAGAGATTAAGGTATTCATCCAGTGCGGGCAGAAGTATTCTCTTATTTAAATATTTATTTAAGATGAATTTGCTAAAATTTAGAAAACAAACCAATAGGCCTGACAGTTTCAAAGGGCACCAAGAATATATGCATACAGAAACACGCTAGGTAAAAGACTTCAATTTAGAATGTTTGTTGTTGTTGTTGTTGTTAAGTGCCATCGAGTCGCAGGCAACTCATAGCGACCCTATGAAGGAGAGTCCTCTGTGCTTGGGTGCCTTTCATCCTCTCTCCAGGTTCATGGGGTTTCCAGAGGCAAGCTACTATGGAAGTGGATGCCACTCCTCCTTCCAAGCTTGTTGTAATCGGGGAGCTCCACCCCACTCTCTGTCCGCATTGGGTAGCCAACCATTAATGCATTTGACACATAAGCAAAACACACAGTAGCCACAACAAATTCAAGCACAGCAACTGCAAAGATGGTGCACAAGTAGGCAATATTTTGGCCTGACATATGGGGTCACCATGAGTTTATTAGTCCACCATAGTAACATTAATAATTACAACATAAGGAAGACTAGGAGAAGAGGCAAAAAGACACAGGAAAAATATTGCAGGCAAAAGTGAAAAGGCTAAACTACATAAATTGTCTAAGTGAACGAACTTGTGAATAATACTTTGAAGCTTAAAGATCAAAAGCTCAGGTTCTTATAAAAACAAAGAATAGGAATAACTAAACAATTATTTTGAGACTTTCAAGATGGGCAACTAGAAAACTACTATTTTAAATGGGACTGGGAAAATACTCTCCCATATAACATTCTGTTTCTTAGATGTATAGCTTGCTTCTGAAGGAGACAAAAGGCCTCAATTTCTCTTATATTAACCAAGACATTACTGAGCACAAGGCAGACATGAGTCATTTCAAATAACTGCATATTCTACATATTAACTAAATGGCAATCATAATTACCTATAAACTCATACTAAGGCAGAAGGCAGATCAAACAGACTTTTTTTTGTTATTGTTGTGCCATTGAGCCCAGTATGACTCATAGTGACCCTATGAACAATGGATCTGAACCCTGTCCTATCCTGTGCCATCTTCATATTCCCTGGCATACAAAGCCCTATTGTGGCAGTCACTGTGTCAAACCACCTGGTTCAGAGTCTCCCTTTCCTTCCCAGATTCTCCACCTTTCCAAGCATTATGTCCCTCTCCAGCCCCTGCCAGTAACATGCCCAAAGCATGTGAGGCGAAGCCTCATCATCCAAAGAGCACTCTGCCTACACCCTCTCCAATATATAACTATTTGTTCTTTTGGCTGTCCTCTGTATGTTCAATGTTCTTCTCCAACACTGCAACTCCAAGGCATCAACTCGTCTTCTGTCATCCCTATCCATTGTCCAGCTCTCAGATGCATAGCAAGTGACTGGAAATTTTATCAATGGTGTAACTTTCATCACTGGTGAAGGTTTCATTATTTTACACTTTCCTTTTACAAGTATTGAGAGATGTCTATCCATTATGAATAGACACAAATTGTGTTTCTTTTGTGTAGGGTATCAGGAATATCACACACAAGGGAACACTGCATGGTTCAAAATTGGGAAGGTGTACGCAAGGGATGCATCCTATCTCCATACCTTTTCAACCTATATGCAGAACAGATTATCCAGGAGGCTGGGCTCTATGAGGAGAAATGTGGGGTCAAGATTGGTGGACGATTTATCAACAATCTGCGTTATGCGGATGACACAACCCTGCTTGCTGAAACTGAAGAGGACCTGAAGCGCCTGCTGCAGAGTGTCAAGGACTGCAGCCTCCAATATGGATTGAGGCTCAATGTCAAGAAGACAAGATTCTCACCACTGGACCAACTGGAAGCATCAGGATGGATGGTGAAGATATTGACATTGTACACAGCTTTAGTTTGCTTGGCTCCATAGTCAACAGTCTTGGCACCAGCAGCCAGGAAATTAAAAGGTGCATTGCCATGGGAAAGTCTGCTGTTAGGGACCTCTCCAAAGTGCTGAAGAGCAATGGTGTCTCTTTGGAGACTAAGGTGCATCTGATACAGGCCATGGTCTTCGCAATCACCTGTTATGCATCAGAGAGTTGGAAAATGACCAAGGAGGATAGAAGGAGAATTGATGCCTTTGAGCTGTGGTGCTGGAGAAGAGTATTGAGAATACCATGGACTGCTAGGAAAAGAAACAGATTTGTCCTGGAGAGGGTTAAACCGGGTGGCTCCTTGGAGGCAAGGATTCTGAGGCTCCGTCTAACATACTTTGGACATGTTGCAAGGAGAAACCAGTCCTTAGAGAGGGACATCATGCTTGGGAGGGTGGAGGGACAGCGCAGGAGAGGAAGGCCCTCTATGAGGTGGATTGATTCAGTTATTGGGATAATTGGGATGGGAGTGTCGGAGACAGTGCGTTTGGCACAGGACAGAGCGGAGTTTAGGGCTGTTGTACATAGGGTTGCTATGAGTCGCAGGCGACTCGACGGCACATAACAACAACAACAATCAGGAATATCATTTGAATTGGTTCAGTAGTACATTTCCTTTTTTGCAGGTAAATATATAGGTCAAATATATTAATCATTTTTACTTCTAGAGATCTTTCTTTCTTTACACATGTTCTTAGCATCCTTGTTCTGATGAGTGTCTATCATATGTGAGTGTATTTTAGGTTTGTGATTTTATAAACTTTCTCCATAGCTCAAGGATTCTCAAATTGTGTTTTCCAGACCAGAGCACTAGGTTTACTAAGGAATGTATTAAAAATGCAAAATTTCCATCCCTACCTCTGATCAACAAAGTTAGAAATTCCAACTTTGTGATAAAAAGATCTGTGTTTTAACAAGTCAACCAGTTGATTCATATGTATGTTTCAGACTGGAAAACACAGTGACAGACAAATGTAGCACCTACTTTTGTTTGTTAGAGGCTCTGCTCTTTTACTTCTAAAGTGTCTTGCAGTTACGTCATAAGCAATCTCTGTCAAAGCATGCAATATTAAGTAGGAAACTATTGAAAAGCAATTCATTAAAAATGTATTTCAGAGATTTGGACTTTAAGTGTTCAATTATCTCTGCCTTGAACTCTTCTAAAACAGACCCTGGAGGATTCATTAACTTCTCTGAAAGCCAAAATAAACTTGAACAAATACTGTTATTGTTGTTGTGTATTGTAGAGTTGAAACTGATCCAAAACTGACCCTCCAGTGAGTTTCTAGGGGCAGTTAATTGCACAGGAGAATGAACATCCTCCTCTCACAGAGCAGCTGATGGCCTCGATCCACAAGTCTTTAGGATCGCAGTGCAGCTTCTCGCCACTA